CACGAACTGTGAGATCGTGACCTGAGCCGAAGTCGGACGCTTAGCCGACTGAGCCACCCAGGCACCCCAGATGGTGACCCTCCTTGGCCTACATCCCCATTCCATGCACGTGCAGCCACGGACGTGTAGATGTGTGTGTGTACCTGTGTATAATGTGGCATATCTAAGATCATAGTATACATGCGGTTTCTAAACACCACGAACGCCTCCTTATTGAACAGTCATTTTTGGTGACTTTCTCCCCACCTTTCTGTCACCCCGGATCACAATATTCAATATTCGCGGCTGCGCGCTCACAGACGCAGACACGGCCACCTGCAGAGGAGGTTTCCGTCACTCTACAAACATCAGACCGTGCGATACGTACTGTTCTGCTCTTTGCTTTCCCACTTAGCAAGATACCCTAGACATTTGCCAAAGTCAACCTATAGGCTTCTAACTCCTTCTGTTACATTTTTTTCATGTCTTAAAACAATTCTTTTTCCAAAGTAAATACAAATAATACAGAGGTCCTCCAGACTCGCAACCTTTCCTTTCTCTCTTCCTCCGGTCTGGCTGTGTCAACATTCCTGTCTGGGCAGCTATGGAAAATCAGGGGTGGGGCTGGGAGGGTGGGAGTTTCTGCAGCATCAGGAACCATCCCTCTCCCCAGCTAAGTGACAACTGATTTGAGTTCATTTGTATTCCGGAAGTCTATGGACTAAATCACTGAGGGGGGGGAAAAAAAACACGGCTCTAGCATTTTAATTTTACTCTTTTAAAATATATATTGAATGGTGATAACATGATAGCTGTGACATAAACCCTTCTGTTAGATATTGTAACCGTGAAATACAGCTTTTTAACTAGTTGGCGGTGAAATTTGTGCTGCATTCAATCACACAACGATTGCAATATTAAACAGGAAGGTGAAAGTGTACGGAGAAAGCCTCTCCTACCCGGCGACAGCCACATTTCAACCAGCAAGGTCAACTGCAAAATGACGGTCACCTCTAATGTGGCAATTACTGTCCTCCCAAATGGGCCGCTGCTGACTCAAAGCCAACAATTTCTTTCATTTCCCCGACTTGTCTGCAAGTTACTTTGGGAAGCTTCAGGATCAGCACTATTCTGTTCATGCTCTTGGGTGCTGGCAGCAGAAGGGCCCCACAGCAAGTGCTCAAGTCAGACCTCGGGAGGCAATGCCTCTAGACCCGCGACCGGGCTCTGGGAAGTCGTGGGATCGCAAGAGGAAACGAAACACTCTCTCTTGCTTTCCCCCATATAGCAGAACCCTGACTTTGTTTGAGGTGGCGTATAAAAAATACCTCCCCAAACTCCCGTGCAGCAAGCTCAGCCACGTGACCCAAAGAGACGCTAGCGGGGGTCTGCGGGGCGGGGCCCCTGGGATAACTTTGTTTTCCCCCACCAAAGAGACAGACTTAGAGGACAGGTGCCAGAGGTCGTTTTGTTCCTTGACCGTCCCCCCTCATTTACCTGCCTGAGTTGAACAGCCCCACTCCAAGGATAACAGAACAGAGGACCGAAAAAGTCCCGATGACCCCCACGGACGTGTGTACCAGCCCTGAGCTGCCTACTTCTGGATTTGTTGTTGCTCGCGAAATACAAACCCTTATTTATAAGGTGACGACGCTGTAGTCAGCTTTTTATGATAGCCGGGCCAACACAATCCTCATGGGTATTGTAGCTGATAGAAAGAAGGGAAGCTAGTCTGAGAAACTTGTATTCTTCTCTTGGAGACTGATTGGTGTTATGTAGTTCACGCTCTTTCCCATTTTACTTTGGCTGCCAGGAATCTCAGTGTCAAATCTGATGATATTATATAAATAGCTGTCATGTAGGCCATATGGCCTGTATGTGTTCTGTATTTCCCCAGTCTCAGCCTCTTCTTCTAAAATATATTCAAACTGATTCTGAATTTTTATTTTTTTATACTTTCCTATTTTATTTTGAATATTTTCCATATATTACTGTAAATCTTTGAAGAATGAAGCAGGGTGCATAAGGAATAAAACATATATATGTATATGTACATACATTAATACATACAATAGTTACCAAGTAATGAATGGTTACTCTGTTTCCATGAATCCTACTAACCGCTCCATATGAATTGTGTCATTAATCCACACAATAACCCTCTAACCCTGGTGCATACTATGATCCCATTTAACGGACAAAGAGACTGATTTAGAAGGACTAAGCACACAGCAGCGACTGCCTAATGGACGTTCACGAGTGTGCTGAGTGTTTTACACACCAGATTTATTTCATTTAGTCCCCCTGAGAACGCTAGGAGAGTCCCATTTGACAGGTGAAGGAACCGAGGCTAGGTGAGGCGATTCCTCAAAAGGGACCCCAGGAGGAGAAGCAGAAGCGGGATCTAGACCCAGTTCTGCGAGCTTGGCCACACCCACGTGACCTGAGGAAGGCGAGAGGAGTCCCCATCTTTCTTACCCATCTTCCGTCCTTGTCTAAAGGTGGGTTGAAGCGTCTTCCTCTGACCATTTTCTGCGGGAAGCGGAAGGTGGCTGAGGTTGGCTCCCTTATGTCCCCATTGCCTCGTAAACTCTCTGCATCCGGAAGACGTCCCTCCTCCTGCTCCTGACCCTTGGCCTCTCCTAGAAGGGGAGGTCCAGGGGGACCCGCTGTTGCCATAGAATTCCGATGCCCCCATCACAATGGGGGAGGGCTGTGGGTCTTCTAAGCCCTCTGAGGGTTCCTGCACAGGCTCCCTGCGGCTGCTCCCCCCAGGCTCCCGGCTGAGGAAGCCCCATGGATGGGTCAGACAAGTGAGGACAACACAGCCTTGAGGAAAAGGCAGGAAGAGCTCGGACAAGGCGAGGGCTGCTGGTCAATGCTTGATGACCAGGTCTCTGGAAGACAGTCCAATTTGTAGTGCTGTTGGCCAATTTCCATGGTGTAAATACTTGTACCGTGATTTTTAAGCTAACACCGATGAACATGGAGTTGGGAAGAGATGTGCGCACAGGCTCCAGGCCCCCTCCCTGGGTCAAAGGATTGATCTCCCAGGATCCCTCCCTCCCAGGCCAGACTTTGGAAGGAGCTGTGTTGTCCTACCTACATCCACTGCTCCCATCAGTCTGGCGGCCCCTGGCCCACGGCTCCAGCCCCTGCTGTTAACAGCGACCTCTCCCAACCCTTTAGGCCTAGGGGTGGGCAAGGCTTTTGGCTCTCGCTGGGCCTTGTCAGCCCCTGAACCCTGCCCACATCTCTCCAAGGACACTCTTCGTTAGACCGTCTTCTGTCTTGGAATGGGCCACCTGGTTCCTCCTGGGAGGCAGACCAAGGCCAACACAGGCATTGGCCACCACCTCCACTTACAGAAGAGGAGACCGAGTCTCAGACAAGCAGAGGGACTCCGCACGGTCACACAGCCAATACTGAGCCTGAACTAGACCCCCCAGGTACTGAGACCAGGTTCAATGCCAGCAGGAAACAGAGCTCACTTCCTCGACCCTGCCGAATTATTGGGCAGTGCTGATTTGCATAAAACAGGGCCCATCTAAGTGCCTGTCTCTAGGCCACCTTCCCTCTGCCACGCACGTGACGGGGTGGGAGGTGGGGGGAGAGGGGGCACAAGCCCAGAACGTGCCCCTCTGACACCCCACAACCGAGAGGAAAGCAAGAAGGACAGAGGAAGCCAAAGACTTCGAGCTTAAAAGTGCCATTTCCAACAGGGTATTTCGTGTGCGTTCACTTGGTCTCCACCAACAGGGCCGAACAGTTTTTAGAACGGAAATCTCATGTTTAAATATGTTTTGCATCTCCTCTCCAGTTAGTCATTCGCTCTGTTAAACAAGGAATATGATCACTGGCTAAGGTGTGTCCCAATTTCGCCCCTCTGAATGATTGTTCAAAATTCTTAACAAATTTGTCCAAGGAAATCAAAACTGAATAAAGGACTCCCAGCCAGGAAAAATAACATTCAATTTTTCTTCAGCTAGGATTTCTCAGCCCCAGATGGGGGTCGGGCTGTTCATTGTTGATGTTACTATTTGCAGAGGTTTGAATTACTGGGCTGAACTTGGCGACGCCTCAGTCTGCACACAAGTTCTGGAGCACTCAGAGCGCTTGAGTCCCTGGCGCTGAGGTCAGCGGAGATTCATGCTTCATCCTGCCTCGTGCTTTGCACACGAGGGGCCCCTGCTTGGAGTGCAGTGGCCCAAGACGGCTCGTTACAGACTGTCCATGAAGACAATGGTGTGAGCTTGTGTCAGAATCTATTCATTCGGTCAACAAATATTTACCCAACACCCACTATAGGCCAGTACTGTTTTCTTTTTAAAAAAAAATTTTTTTTCAACGTTTATTTATTTTTGGAACAGAGAGACACAGAGCATGAACGGGGGAGGGGCAGAGAGAGAGGGAGACACAGAATCGGAAACAGGCTCCAGGCTCTGAGCCATCAGCCCAGAGCCTGACGCGGGGCTCGAACTCCTGGACCGCGAGATCGTGACCTGGCTGAAGTCGGACGCTTAACCGACTGCGCCACCCAGGCACCCCTAGGCTGGTACTGTTTTCAAACAGTACTAAGGCATCGCCAAAATTAGTCTTCATGAATAACGAATTATGACTTTACCAATACATCCAATGATCAGTACCCCAAATTACTGATGAACCAAAAATTATTTTCAGTGAACTATCTACATTTGCAGCAAATAGTTTTGCCCAATATACATATTTTTTAACGTTTATTTATTTGAAACAGCACATGTGTGAGCACGAATGCATGGGAGCGAGTGTGGGAGGGCAGAGAGAGGGAGAATCTCAAGCAGACCCCATGCTATCAGCTCAGAGCCCAATGCGGGGCTCGATCTCACCAATTGTGAGACCATGACCTGAGCCAAAATCAAGAGTTGGATGCTTGGGACGCCTGGGTGGCTCAGTCGGTTGAGCGTCTGACTTCGGCTCAGGTCATGATCTCGCAGTTGACGAGTTCGAGCCCCACTTCGGGCTGTGTGCTGACAGCTCAGAGCTTGAAGCCTGCTTCGGATTCCGTGTGTCTCTCTCTCTGCCCCTCCCCCACTCGTGATCTGTTTCTCTCTGTCTCAAAAATAAAATAAACATTAATTTTTTTTTTTTAAAGAGTTGGATGCTTAACCAACTGAGCCACCCAGGCGCCCCACCCCATATATTTTTTTGACTTAACAGTTGTGTGTACTTTGACTTTTAGACCTTGCACATCTCAAGTGTTAAGGAGTTTATGAAGGATAGATGTGTCTATCTCTTCCATGCGTTTCCAGTGTGGTCTGCCAGCCATTCCTTGTTTACTTAATGATGGGTATCTTTTCTAGGAGAGAAAGCAGTGGGACCATGGGCACTCTGGAGGAATGCTCTCACTCATGTATGTGCCCGTGCCCACCTGTGATGCCCCCACAAACACTCAGACCTGCACACATGGGCGTTATCCCATTTGTCATTCCACCAAATGAACGTTCCATCTTCACATTCACGTTCATGCACCCTGGACAACTTAACCTGCACGTGGAGAAAGCCCATCCATCTGAGAAATTCTCAGGCATCTGAATTGTAAAACACATTTTATCTACCTGAACTCTTTCTGCAAATAGCAGCCCAATCAAGGTGACTCAGCTGTACTTTTTATTAGGATTCCTAATTCATATGGTACTAATGGGAAGTTTAATGGGTGCACAACAGGTTTGCACACCCTCTTGGAAAGCACCCTGGCACCTGTAACAGGAGCACATTTCTCGTTGTATCTTACGTTGCAAACTGTTTGGAAAGTTAACTCCATCTTTTTCCTTCCCACTCAAGAAAACAATTCAGTGGATCCAGACAAGTAAGACTAAAGTGAAAGAGAAGAAGCAGGGGCACCCGGGTGGCTCAGCAGGTTAAGCATCTGGCTCTTGATTTCGGCTCAGGTCATGATCCCAGGGTCACGGGATCGAGCCTCATATCGGCCCAGCATGGAGCCTGCTTGGGATTCTCTCTCGCCCTCCGCCCTCTTGTATTCCCCCTCTCTCTCTGTCACCCATTAAAAAAAAAAAAAAGACAAAGGAAATCTATTGAATTGAAAGAAACTAACTCACCGGGACATTTACAAAAACCCTTGACTTTGCTGACGTACACATGATACTCCAAATTCAAATTACGTGCACTGTCATCGTAATGACTGAATTTTTGATAACCCTGCTGAAACATGAATTGCTCTAAGCCTTTCAAATTGTTTCCAGAGAAGCTTTTGGTAATTGATAATTTGGCTAATTGGTCACCCAAGTGAGGCAATCTGGCAAAATGTGCCGGGGACACCGAAAGACACGGTAAATCCTGCCTCTGTCCTCGTGGTGCAGACCCTCCTGGCGACAGAGACATCGCCACACGAACACAGGGTAGTAACAGAGAGCCACAGGTGCTCCAAGGCCACATGACAGAGGGACCTGAATGAATCAGAAAGGTAACCAGGGCGATAGGAAGAAGATGAAGCAAAGAAAGGCTGCACAGAGCCAGGGAGGGCATGCCAGGCAGCAGAGAGCCTGTCACAGGCCCTGGCAGTGGGCTCAGTGTGGCTCACTCAAGAAATGAAGGGCGGCCGGGGCACCTGGGGGGCTCAGTCGGTTGAGCGTCCGACTTCGGCTTAGGTCACGATCTCACGGCTTGTGGGTTCGAGCCCCGCGTCGGGCTCTGTGCTGACAGCTCGGAGCC